AGCATTTTAGAGCTTAATACATTATATCAGTCATTCATAACAGTGCATCCATTACATTGTAGAGTCTGGACCTATAAAATACACCTCTCCGTCACAGATTTTTTTTTGGACCTGCAAAGATCATTTGACAGTAGCATGGATCCTTCCACCCTACAAAAAAATGAAAGCCAAAATTGAAACAACGAAAACGAAAATCATAACAACCGACACAGAGACAAAAACATGCTACGACAACAGAGACGAAGTGATAATAGATTATAAAGAACAAAGGAAGAACAACCAGCACTACTCGTTCATCCAACAAAACCATATCAACATTGTCGTCAAAATCCTTACGTTGAAAATTAGGAACCTTCCAAGATCGAACCACCTTAACCTTAATCCTCCAGTCCTCCTTTGTAGGATTAAGATCCTTTATAAAATCATAGGTTGAAAACATTTCGTAGGAGAGAACGAATAAGGAAGAAAAGAAAGAACCAAATCCTCTAAAAGAAACAATCAGCAAAAATGGAATACCAGAGGGAAGAACAAAATTTCTATTCCCACGTTCCTTCTTATAGACCCAAGCAACAAAAGAAAAATAGTCAGAGATTAAATGAGAGCTGTCTGCCACCTAAATACCTTAAATTTTTTTCCCACCATTACAATTTGAATTTGAAAAATGAAATCAAAATATTTCAAATTTTAAATCGAAATCATATTTTGAATTTTAAAAGAGTTGATCATTCCAATGTAGAAATCATGATCAATTAATTACAAAAAAAGAAAAAAGAAAAAAGAAAAAAAGAAATCATGATCAGTTTGAATTTCAAATTTTAAAAGAGCCTCTCAATTCCAATGTAAAAATCATCATTAAATGAAACAGCTGAGTGGGACATTGAATGAGGACTGGGACAGTTGAAAATTGAATGAAATGTCTGCCACCACAACTCAATTGAATCAAAACTCAATTCAACTTTTTTTCGTATTTTAAAATGTTTAAAATATTTAATAATTCAAATTTGCCAAATGAGAAAAGTTTTTAAGTGGGTATAGTGTGAACAAAAATCTGAGATAAAAGGAGGAAGTGACACATGGTAAAACTTTCCAACAAATAGAATTCCTTTAGAATAATAGATGAGAAATTTTGTCTCTTTTTATTTAGGTTATTTTAGTCGTTGTGCATTGACGATTGTGGTGGGTGTTTCGGGAGGGGGTGGGGTGGGGTGGTTGAGCATTTTTTAAAAGTAATATCAATCTAATACGGTCAAAGTTGCTTATTGACTGTACCGGACAAGTCATATATGTCAATAATGCGACACCCAATACTAATGTGACAGTCAAAAGAAGTCCCGCGTATAATTAATGTGAGACAAGGCCTGTTGCCTGCATATAGTCGCGGAACTCACTAATACAGGAGGTGTCTCGTAGTAGGTGAATTATTTTGTTTTAAAAAGAGAGGGATGGAAAAAATTATTTATTCATGTTTGATAGGAAAAAAAAAAAAAGTAAAGTTGTAAATTTTTTTTTCCATCATATTTTTCCACATAAAATTGTCATGGAAAATTGCTATTGATGGAATGATTTTTTTTTTCATGCGATACGAAAATTATCATATAACATTTATAAAATGAACTCAATATTCTCATAAAAATTTTGATCTACCAAATACTTGTCAGTCACTTACCTGAATTTTTTTTCTATTATATTTCTGAAAATTATTTTTTTTTCTATAAAAAACTTATACTCTATCGAACTCATAAAATTTTGTGACAGTACATGCCTAAAATTCGAATTTTTTTAATATAGATCCGGTGCACAATCTTTTAGGTGTACTTTTTCCCAAAAAAAAAAAATCTTCCACTTAAATCTTTTCTCTTCTTTTTAAATTTTTCCTCCGTTTTTTTTTTTTCATTTTAGGATAAGGACTTTGAATTTCCGGTCCATATAAAACAAGCTCCTAAAATTCAAAGGATTACGCTTCTCCCACTCATCCTATTCAGTCAAAGGCTAGTCTACAACATGTGTCATGATGTGACAAAAAAATACGCCATATTTATAAATCATTATAGTAAGCATATCAAATGAGTCATCGGGATTAAAATTTGGAAAATGTTTTTCTCATATTGCATGAGATAATATATCTCATGCAACAAAAAAAAAATGAGTAGGATCTATTTTTTTCTTTTCTCTCTTCTCTTCTTAATGAGTCTCATCCATTTTTTTTTGTGTTGTATGAGTCAAATTATCTTATGTAACATGAAAAAAAATTCCCTTATAATTTCACGAGAATCATTATCCGTGAGTCCCCATCACCTATGTGCGGGACTTCTCTGTTGCCTCACTCCCTATTAGGTTTTTGGCATACGTTGGCATGGAGTTTTTATTTATTTATCATATTTGATATAAGTAAAAGTAAAAAAATTATAGGATACTTCTTTCTTCATCATTTCTATTTTTAATTATACATGGAAAAAAATAATTTTATCCCATCTATGGTATTATTTTTTCCCACTAACTCGAAAGCGTATTTTCACATTTTTTGTATTAAATATAAATTATATTATATATTAAAAGTATTATTTAATATCAAAACGTGTCCCAACGTGTCAAAAAATACCATTTTTTAAAATTAACGTGTCGGCATACCGTGTCATGTCCTACGTCAGTGTTCGTACATTATAGGATACATGACTACTACGCTAGTATTATTGGCGTGCAAGACTTATCTTGCACGGTCAACATGCGACTTTGATCGCATTATGTTAATATTATTTTTGAAAACACTTTAACAAGATAGTTTTTTTATTTAAAAAACGCTACATTAATTAGAAAACAACTACGAATTAATGGACCCGAGAATAAAATCAAGTCTTACATAACCGAACAACCTTTTGTTAGATAACTTCTCAATAAAATTCATTATTGAATTAAAAGTTTAAATAACTTAAATTAATGAATTTGATTTATGAAAATAGGAATCGTTGATGATGGAAATCAACCGTTAAAATATGATTGTAAGAGGTTATAAACGAAAATATATTATAAATTTAATTTTCCTCAAATTATATATATTAAACTTGTACTATAAAAAAAAAATACTCCCCATTAAACTCGACTAGCAAGTGTCGGATAGAAGAAATCTTTGTACACAACCTTGTCTTTACATAATTGGGAAGAGACTATTTTTTGGATTCGAACTCATAATCTTTCAGTTATGAATGGACACTTTTATCACTATTCCAATTCGTCCCCTTTTAAACTTATACTGTTGGGCTTTTTGATTTTTTTGCCCCTCATTAATTAATTAATAACCAATTTGCCCCTCATCCAGAATTATCCACCAACCTGTCCCTCTTTAGTCGACTACGTTGCATTTTTAGTCGATCAAATGGTCAAAAGTCAGAATTTGGATACCACGAAATGTAGTCGACTAATCGACTACATTTTTGGGATATTTAGTCGACTAAAGAACGATATTTAGTCGACTAAAGAACGATATTTAGTCGACTAAATGTCGACTGAAACCCTATATTTTCCATGTTCTCGGTCTCATTTCGATTTTTGTTGTTGTGTAAACCAAAATAGCTCCATGTTTTCATGTGTAATCCTTGCAATCCGATTGTATTTCATCCCACCGTCTCTAAAGCCCTAATATTGTGAAATCATTGTCATTGCACAATTCCAAACGCCTAAAATCCGAACCCAAACCCCCAATTTCAGAACCCTAGTCCCAATTTCGTGTGGAAGATGAGCACAAGTCCAAACATGTATGTAACAATGATCTACTATGATGGAAAGCATTATGAAGGCCCCAATGGTGTTCAATTTGAAGGAAAAACGAAAATGCTGAAAATCAAACGGGGCACTACATACAATGAGTTAAAGGGGAGAATTCAGCAAAAATTGGGTCTGCAAGGCAGCCAATGCGTTCAGCGGATGATGGCCAGGGTAGAGACTACAGTTTAAATCCTGAGGTATGGAAGATTATCACCTCATTCAATATCCTCTATACCAGATAGGCGTATGGAAGATGACCCTTATGTTTGGCCTTAAACATAAACCAACAGATATAGTGCCTCCAGTTCACCATCTGGGCATGTCGGATAGCCTACATAATGGGAATGTCATGTTCCAACACCCTGGAATGATTGAAAGATCGCGGAAACAGAACCTGGGTGAGGACATAGTGTAGTATACAGGACTCCACAGAAAGCAACCCCATCGTATAGTGCATGTGTTCCCCACAGACTCTTCTCTGCTCCTGCACGGCATCCTCTCGTACATATCCTGGAAGTACTACACCACTATCAGCGTCATACGCCACAGTCTGAGAAGAGTCAAAATCATAGCCGAGTATCTCCAACCATGCAGGTGCCGTCATGTTGATCTCTATCCACAGACCCTGGACCTCAGCTCACCCTGTACGTAGCTGAGGTTATGGTAGAAGGCCCGCACCATAAGCTCTGAATACAGACACAGGGTCTCGGCCAACACCCTCAGATGCGCCGCCTCCAACAGCCCCACAATTTCAAATCCCTCCGTAGCAAAAAATGCTGTATCCAAAGATTTTGGAGCACATAACGGCCGGTTCAAATGGTCACATACGAATGAAGCGTGGACGGCAGGGTCGTCCTTAAACAGGTACCCATACGGGAGGTCGACAGTATCAGGCTCTTCGTCTTGTGGCATTGATGAAGAAGGCCGGTCTTGCCTATGCTTGGTGCGTCTCTCAAGTGACTCATTGCCCTCATTGTTTGGTCTTCTGCGGCCCGTCATTTGTTTAGACCTACAATGAAACATGTCAACATTTAACTATATGAAACATGTCATGATGCTAATGAAAACTTGCAACACCAATACCTACACACCAAAAGCTAACTTTTCCCACATACCAAAACAAAAATACCAGAAAGTTACAGCAACAGTCACAGAGCAGATTAAACATGTAACAAATTTCAAGTAGTGTGCAAATAAAGACTTTCAACAAAGGGTGGTAATGAAAGTCAAACAAAATACAAATGACCCAGCTTTTGCTAACAATAATCAACTCCAACAACTCTTGTGATAACAAAAAATTCGGACAACAAAAAAATAAAATAAAAATTCAAAACCTAAAACACAATGCAAATTAAAAAACCTTACTTATCCTTCAGATTTCACGATTTGGATCATTTTTTTGGTGCAATCCACACGCCTGGGGGAGGGGTTTGGGATGTTCTTCAGCTGCTCCTGCCGATTTGGGGTTTGGGGCTCTCCTTAGTCGATTAGGGTTCACTACACCCCCTCTGCCAAATGGGGGGGTTTTTGAAAAACAAATCCGCCGAAAGTTAGTCGACTAAATATCATTCTTTAGTCGACTAAATATCATTCTTTAGTCGATTAAATATCCCAAAAATGTAGTCGATCAAGATGTATTTTTAGTCGACTACATTTCGTGGTATCCAAATTCTAACTTTTGACCATTTGATCGACTAAAAATGCAACGTAGTCGACTAAAGAGGGGCAAGTTGGTGGATAATTCTAGATGATGGGCAAATTGGTTATTAATTAATTAATGAGGGGCAAAAAAGTCAAAAAGCCTATACTGTTGTACACATAAAATCAATATGTTTTTGAAATACATAAAAAAAAAAACTATTCAATTATCTTTTTATTAATGTTTAAGTTTTCCTAAAAATTTAAGACAAATGATCAACTTGATTTTAAATGATCAAACTCACGAAGATGAATGATCCGTTTCCAAAAGTTGATTTCGCTCGATCCCATGGATTCAAAACCGTCACTGCTAGCTAGCTGCTATTAAGCTGGAACACGGTCTACATGTGACTACAATATGTTCCGTCAATTGCATTCAAAATGTACCTTCATTCATCCCTTCTAGTCAAAATTCTCATGTACTTCCAACATCATATAAAATCAGATCAATTGGCATTAACTTTTAGACCACATACATATCCATCCCATTTTTTTAATTAACCACCTTTGATTCATTCTTCAATATGGACATGAATGTAAAACTAGTTTTCAATCAACATATATTATTCAACCAGACTTATCAACATGATTGAGGCTCAGAAAAAGATCCATAATTTAGTGACTCCTGTGTGTGGCATATAAAGCAACCAGGTAACCCACACAAAGAAGGAAAAAACAAAAGCCCCCGTAACCGAGAAAGCCAAAACAATCTTCTATTGCATGTCGTGACTTGTGAGTGAAAAAAAAGAAAAAAAGAAAAAAGAACTTCACTTTCTTCAACTTCTCAAATGGCTATTATAAGAAAACGTTACTCTCTTCCTTTCTTTTTCTATTCAATGTTTTTGTGCTCCTCCGTCTTCATACTATGTCAGATTTAGACACAAACTTGGTTTACAAGGGTTGTGCAGATAATTAAAAGAAAAATAGAGACGAGAGAAATGCAACAGTAGTTAAACAGAAAGAAGACTAGGGACAACTTTCCATTGCATTGTAATTGTATTGTCACGAGCTTCATTTATAGACTCTCAAGTCTCAACTATCATGATCTATGATGAAATAAATGACAGAATTTAATCCACGTAATTGCATATAATTAACTCATAGGGATTAAAGGATATATTCTCATAAATTTTTAGAAGTTACATATCTTGATATTTTTACTTTGGGAGTTATAGACATTCACGTTAGGGTTCGCTTTTTCTGCAGTTACTGCAGATAAGTTATCTGTAGTAAGTCCAATACGACGTCGTTTTGGGGCGAGAATCATGGTATTTTTGTAATTTTAATTTATTTCAGGTTATAATAGTCTTTATATTTATATTTTTTTAAGATTTCAATACCAAAACAACGTCGTTTTGGGAATAAATGCAGATAACTTATCTGCATTAACTGCAGAAACATTTTTCCCTTCACATTAATATTATTTATAATAAAAATAAGAGATTTCTTTTGTTGTATAAGATAATTTTATTTCCTACTCTTACAGACACATAACAGTGTGGGGCCCATATGGAGTCATATGAAGAAGAGAAAAAAAAAAGAAATACATGGGTCTCACACACATTTATGTATGTGTAGGATATAAAATTTATCTTCTACAATATGAAAAATATTATTCCCTAAAAATAAAAAAAAACCTCAATGTGTGTTTTTGAACCTTTGCCTTAATTTTGCAGCTTTAATTTGTGCAAGATATTGCAATTATGTCGTGATCATGGAATAGGTTTGGATTGGAGTAACTTATATTTAAATAAAATATATGAATATAGACATTATTCAAGATTGAATTATAAAATTATATAAGCAGGAAATAAAATTTAATGATTTTTTAATATATAGTTTGAGATAATTTATATTAATATACATACATTACCCAATTATGTAATAAAAATAAAATTAAATAGGCGATTTTTATCATTTGTTATTAATTGTAACAAATAATTTTAAATTGTTGCGTGGAAACAAGATTTAAAATTTAACTCAATAAGTAAATAACAAGATTTATAATAAGCAAGACGTACGTGAAACATATAAATTAAAATAATAAATATGATAAATTACCAATTTTAAAATTATTTATATATGTAGCAGAAATTATTATTTTATCAAAATAATCCAAATGCCAAATCTCAAAAGCAAAATTCAATATAAATTAATTCATATAATTTTAAAATCTATATTTTCTAAAATAATATTCATGTTTATTGTTTAAGTGGGGGTATACTTGGACAAAACTATAACATATCAATCTCAAACCTCCACCTGAAAATATAATATGATCAGGATATCAGCCCATAAATAAAGGGAAAATTGTTTATTCTTTTAAGTGACACAACTTATATCCTTTCACTCTCACAAAGAGATGTGACCCACACCTTTGTTTTTTTTATCAACTCTCTCTCCTCCTTTATCTATCTCTTTCTCTTTCTTAAAATAACACAACTTTACATCCTTTAAAATAATACACACTTTTCCCATAAATAAATTATGATGCGCCAAGACTAACATCTATATATTGCTGTTAGTGTACAATGTTTTGAAGAAGTCACTCTCTAAAACCGATTTTAAAACATAACTATAATATATAAATTTTCGAAGGAAAAATCAATCATAATCATATCATAGTTTTATAAATTAATTCAAAAAAATATTATAACACTCCTCAAATATTCAACCATAACATGAGAAATCATTCTCCACATCTATATTTTCGTTCCATAACATTTCTCAATACCATCGAAATCAATTCAAATATTATAAAGCAATTTGAATAAAATAGAAATATAATTAATTGTCAAAATTTATATTTTCTAAATCATTCAAAAAGTAATATAAAACATATAAAATACTTAATTTCTAAAATATAAACATATAATAAAATTCATAATATGTTTCCAAATCATTTCTCAACTATTATCAAACCAATATAAACATTAAAAATTAGTAAGGAAATCGTTCAACTTCATTTTATGTTACCTCCTCCCCTAAAAACATTTAAGTATTAGCTCCATCATTTTTATTTATACGGTCATTGCATGATAAAATAATAATTTAAAGTAAAATAATTAGAGTGAAAATTAAAGAAAAGTTCAAACTTGTATAATACCTACTATTTATTCACAGATATTCAAACGGGATAAAATAAAACTTCAAAATTACCAATTGGTGGAATGAATTGCAACATTGATCAGGAGCATGATCAAAATCTGATGCCTACTTAATTTCATAGATGTATCCAAAAGCAAATATTTATTGGAGAGACATTATCCTTTCTTATTACATTGAGAACAACATTTGCATTCCACCAGCCATAGCCATATGTATTACTCTCAAATACATCAATTTCAATATACACATCAAACTTTCGATCACCAGGAATAGTTGCAGATCACCTTGGATAGTCTTTCTCATATGAGTATTTTTTAGCTATCCCTATATATATATCTATCTCAAAGGAAGCTTATTATATTTATTTAGTTAACTTTTCTAGAACAAATCATCACCAATAGTAACAAGGTCATAAATGATTATTTATTTTAAATTGATTAAGTGATAATAAATCTTGAATGGTAATAATTATAACATTTTCTAAAAAAAAAATAAGTGTAAAATAAATTTTGTTGGGCTGGAAATACAAAATCCAATCTTGTAGAAATTGATGTATCCAAAATCTAAAGTCAAAACCCGTTTCTGACCTAGCCCACTCCGGCCCATCAGCCAATTGATGAACTTACATCGCCGGTAGGAAAAAACCAGCAGCTTTGATGGAGGCATAAAAAATTGGGATTCTTATTTTAAAGTGTGTTTTAATAACTCTAAAAAATAAGTTCGGTTGATGTCATTTTCTAGTTATTATATTTAATTTTGATCCAATAAATAATAAAAATAATTATAAGAATTGGTAAGTAAAAAGAAGTTTAAGTATAATTTTCTATTTTATAATTATTAATAAAAGAAACAGAGAACATTTCTGAAAGACCAAGCTCAAGATAGTGTGTGTTTGAATGTGTTTTTGTTTTTAAAGCTTTTATAAAACAACTTATAAAAACTGTTTTGAAGAAAAAAGATAAAAACAAATCTGTTTAATTATAATTACTAGAATGCCATTAATGAAATCTGTTCTCCGTGTTTCTGTCACTTTTAAACGTAAGAATAGAAAAAGAAAACAAAAACAGGTAAGATGTGTTCTCTATTTTTTGTTTTAAAAACTAAAGAACAGATATTGCTTTTAGAACAACAAATACAGAAAACTCGTGCAAAATGGCTCTGTTTGATTTCTGTTCTCAGAACAGTTTTTAAAATTTTAAAAACAATAAAACAAAAAAATGTATGGAAATAATTTTTCATCGGATCTGTTCTAACAATGACTGTTTTTTTGTTTTAAAAACTGAAAAAGAAAAACTGGTACGGGATGTTTTTCAAGGTTGTTTTCTTGTTTTCTGATTTGTGCGGTGGCATTCCTGTAATTATGGGATTTTATTAATGACATTTTCGTAATTAAATGAATTTTTATTTTAATTTTAAATTATTTTGCGGCAACAATCTTGTAAATATGAAGATTCGTTAATGACATTTTTGTAAATAACTACAACTTATTTATATTTTTAAAATTAACTATATTCAAACAAGTTTTATTGTTTTTTTACTCTCAAAACCAGTTTTTAAAATTTATCCTCAAAATAGTTTTTAAAAATAAAAAAACAAAAACACATTTAAACACAGTGTTATTAAAAACAATTTTTTAGTTTTAAGAACAAAAAAACTAGTTTGATAAGGCCTGTTTTGAAAAATATATTTTAAAAACTATAACTGTTTTTTTGTTTTTAGAATTAAATTTAGAGAATATGTATGGGTTGTTTTTGTTTTTTGTTTTGATTTTTAATTTTCAAAAAAAAAAAAATAACAACTATTTCTATAACTATTCTACAAAATAATTTTAAGAAAAAAAAAACCAAAATACAGTCACACAGCGTTAAGTTGTTGTGTCTTGAGATGAATGATCCGTTTCCAAAGCGTTGCTTTCAATTGCAGACAAAATCAAGTGTGGCAGTGGTGGGTCCCATTCATTCAAAACCGTTACTGCAAGGCTGCTACTACGCTGGAACACGCTCTACATGTGAACCGATATGTTCAGTCAATTACATTCACTTTTGGTCAAAATTCTCATATACTTCCCAACATATCATACAAAATCAGATCAATTAGCATTCACTTTTAGGCCCTATCCATTCCATTTTTTAATTACCCACCAATAATTTAAACTTTGATTCATCACTTCAAATATGGACATGAATGTAAAACTAGCTTTCAATTAACATATCCACGTACAAAATAATCTTTAATTATATATTATTCAACCACACTTATTAACATGATTGATGCTCAGACAAAAGATCCATAATTAAGTGACTGCGTGTAGCATGTAAAGCAACCAGGTGACCCACACAGAAGGAAACAATCTTCTATTGTGAGTGAACAAAGAAAAAAAGAAAGAAAGAACCTCACTTTCTTTAACTCCTCAAATGGCTATGATAAGAAAAAGTTACTCTTGTTCCTTTCTTTTTCTCTTCACTGATTTTGTGCTCCTCCTTCTTCTTCATCCTATGTCAGATGCAGATAACACAAACTTAGTTTACAAGGGTTGTGCAGATCAGAAACTGCAAGACCCATCAAGGATATACTCACAAAACCTCAAAGCCCTTTTGGTTTCTCTGGTGACACAATCTGCACAAAGAGCCTTCTACACCACAACCTCTGGGGATGGCCAGAATGTGATCATGGGTCTATACCAATGCAGAGGAGACCTCTCAAACTCTGCTTGCTATGACTGTGTGAGCAAGATCACTGACATGGTGGACAAGCTCTGTGGCAAGGTGGTGGCTGCAAGGGTCCACCTTAGTGGTTGCTACATGAGGTACGAGATTGTTGGGTTCAAGCAGGTACCTGAGACTCAGTTGCTTTACAAGGTTTGCGGGTCCAAGCAGGTGAGTGATGATGGGTTTGATGAGAGGAGAGACTCAGCGTTTGCTATGTTGGAGAATGGAGTGAAGAGTGGTGGAAAATTGTTTTACACTGGGAGTTACCAGTCTCTCTCTGTGTTGGGGCAGTGTGAGGGTGATTTGGCCAATGGTGATTGTGGGGATTGTGTGAAGAGTGCTGAAGACCAGACCAAAGCTGAGTGTGGTGACTCAATTTCTTCACAAATTTATCTGCACAAGTGCTATATCAGCTACAGCTTTTACCCCAAGGGAGTGTCCACCATGTCATCTTCTCCAGGTAGAGCAATAAAGAAAGTATCTTTTATCCCTTATTTTAATGCAATGAGATTGTTAAAAGGTTCATGCCACTTTTCTATCTGTGTTTGTGCCCACATCACATTGAGCTCATGTGGAAATTTTAACAAATATATAATTTTTGTCCTTATCTGGAGAAAAAAAATGCAGTGTAATATATATATATTGTCTTTGTTTGTGAATTGATGTAATTGCTTGTTAGTTTGAAAATTGGGCCTAATTCTATTGGGGGAATTGAGAAGTGGGGTCAAAGAAGGCAATAATAGGATCCTGAGAGGTGGATGAGGATGTCTTTTGTTTAAGATTTACACCTTCTGATTGTGGTTGTATGTGTGTTAAGTCATAATTTAATAAAGGTTGTATTTTGGGTTTGATTGGATCAGGGAAAGTGGGGCAACAAAACACTCAGAAGACAGTAGCCCTTGCAGTGGGAGGGTTTGCAGCTCTGGGTTTCTTGATTGTTTGTTTGTTCTTTCTCAAGTCAGTGTTCAAGAAAAGAAGTGGCAAGTATTGAGACTGAATTGGAGTGTATGCATCCGTGATGTTCATAGATATGATTTTTAGCATCTTAGGTGAATATACTTGGAACCTCTGTGTAGCTCGTATCAAAAGTTAACAATTAAGAGGATATTGTCATTATTTATTGTTGGTATTCCATAACTAATAATGTAATTATGGCTACGAAAATATATAATTAAGATATGGGTGAGTTGCAATTCAACTCAATAAGTAAATAACAAGATTTATAATAAGCAAGACGTGGAAACATATAAATTAAAATTTAATTAAATAATAAATATGAGAAATCACCAATTTTAATATTAATTTATATATGTAGCAGAAATTATTATTTTATCAAAATAATATGCTATGAAATCAAATGCCAAATCTCAAAAGAAAATTTCAATATAAATTAATTTATATAATTTTAAAATCTATATTTTCTAAAATAATATTCATGTTTAAGTGGGAGTACACTTAGAAAGAACTATAACATATCAATCTCAAACCACCACATGAAAATATAATATGATTATAACGTCAAGATACCAGCCCATAAATAAATTATGGTGCACCAAGATTAACATCTATTGTTGTTAGTGTACAATTTTTGAAGAAGATATCCCCTAAAACTGATTTTAAAACATAACTATAATATATAAATCTTCGAAGGCTAAAGCAATCATAATCATATCATAGTTTCATAAATCAATTCAAAAATATATTATAATAGTCTTCAAATATTCAACCATAACATGAGAAATCATTCTCCGCATCTATAATTTCGTTCCATAGCATTCTCAATACCATCGAAATCAATTCAAATATTATAAAGCAATTTGAATAAAATAGACATATAATTAATTAGCAAAATTTATATTTTCTAATTCATTCAAAAAAATGTAAAACATATAAAATACTTAATTTCTAAAATATATAAACATATAATAAAATTCATAATATGTTTCCAAATCATTTCTCAACTATTATCAAACAAATATAAACATTAAAAATAATTAAGCAAATCGTTCAACTTCATGTTACCTCGTCCCCTAAAAACATTTAAGTATGAGCTACATCATTTATATTTATAAAGTCAATTGCATAATAAAATAATAATTTATAAGTAAAATAATTAGAGTAAAAATTAAAGAAAAGTTCAAACTTGTATAAGACGCACTATTTATTCACAATCACAGATATCCAAACAGGATAAAATAAAACTTCAAAAGTACCAAGTGGTGGAATGAATTGCAACATTGATCATGAGCATGATCCAAATCTGATGCCTACTTAAATTCATAGATGTATTCAAAAGCAAATATTTATTCGAGAGACATTATTATCCTTTCTTATTACATTGAGAACAACATTTGCATTCCACTAGGCATCATCACCAATAGTAACACGGTCATAAATGATTATTGATTTTAAATTGATTAAACCATAACCAAATAGATACCAAGAATAAATAAGTCTAAAATGATAATAATTATAACATTTTCTAAAAAAAATAAGTGTAAAATAAATTTTGTTGGGCTGGAAATACAAAATCCAATCCTGTAGAAATTGATGTATCCAAATCTAAAGTCAAAGCCCGTTTGTGACCTAGCCCATATCGGCCTATTAGCTATGAAGTATTGACACTTAAAAAATCATGACGTGTTTGACACTTTTCGACACTCCATCACGCGTTATAGAAATTCAAAAAAAAGTTCAAAGGTTGCGTTGCGTTGAGTTTTAGTTCCAACTATTAGATTCGTTGAATTACGATTACCATTTTATTGAGTTTAATATAAATATTTAGGATATCTTATGTTTCTTTGCAAAATTGATGAATATTATAAGTTTAGTTTCATTTTTTTGTTAAATTATTGAATATTAAATATAATATATACAACATAAAATAAAAATATTATTTAATATCAAAACGTGTCGAAATCTAACATTTTTTAGAATTAACGTGTCGCAGTGTCGTGTCGTATCGTGTCACGTGTCTCGTGTCAGTATCGGTGCTACATAGATGGCAGGCTATGTTGCACCGACACTGACATGGGACACGGGATACGACACGATACTCCGACACGTTAATTCTAAAAAATATTAAATTTCGACACGTTAGGACACGTTTTGATATTATATAATATTTTTAATTCATGTAGTGTATATTATATTTAGTATTCAATAATTTAATAAAAAAAATAAAGCTAAACTTATAATACACATCAATTTTGCAAAGAAACATAATATATCCCAAATGTTTATAGTAAACTCAATAAAATCGTAATTGTAATATAACGAATATAATAGTTGAAACTCAAAATGCAATGCAACGAAACCTTTGAACTTCTTTTGAGTCTTTGCAACGAGTATTAGAGTGTCGGGAAGTGTCAGAGTGCCGGTGAGTGTCAGGAAATGTCAGAGTGTCGATGAGTGTCGGACACGACACATCAGAATTTTTGAAGTGTCGGTGCTTCATAGCCTGTCATATTATAAAAAAACTAAAAAAACCGAATACGACTTGTAAGGCCTACCAAGTTGCAAACTAAAGTTTGTAGGCCCAAATCAAATTAAAATAATAAAAAAAAATTTATTCACAAAGACCACATGAAATCAATTTTCATTAACATCACATGAAATAAGCTTTCATAACATCACATGAAATAATATTATCAAATATCACATGAAAATGTGCATAAAGATCACATGAAAATTTCATATATGTATATATAATTTGCACTTTCTTTACTAATTTTATTTTATATTATATTCTAAATTTTAAATAAATAACTATTATTTGTTAAAATAACATCAATCCTATTACTTTGAACATTTTAAGTAAATTTTTTTCTTAATAGATCTATGTAATTACGATTTTTTTTTGATAATTTGATATGTCGGATTTTTTGGTCTTGGCTAAAATTAAATCCTGGCTCCGCCACTGATTTTAATAACTATAAAAAATAAGATCGCTTGATGTCATTTTCTAATTATTAGATTTAATTTTGATCCAATAATAATAAAAATAATTATAAGAATTGGTAAGGTAAAAAGAAGTTTAAGTATAATTTTCTATTTTATAATTATTAATAAAAGAAACAGACAACATTTCCGAAAGACAAGCTCACGATTAAGTTATTGTGTCTTGAGATGAATGATGGTTTCCAAAGCGTTGCTTTCAATTGCAGACAAAATCAAGTGTGGCAGTGGTGGGTCCCATTCATCCAAAACCATTACTGCTAGGCTGCTACTGGGTCCCATTCATCCAAAACCATTACTGTTAGGCTGCTACTAGGCTGGAACACGCTCTATATGTGACCACAATATTTCAGTCAATTTCATTCAAAAGTTACCTCCATCACTTTTGGTCAAAGTTCTCATGTACTTCCCAACATATCATACAAAATCAGATCAATTAGCATTAACTTTTAGGCCATATCCATTCCATTGTTTAATTACCCACCAATAATTTAACCTTTGATTAATCACTTCAATATGGACATGAATGTAAAACAGGCTTTCAATTAACATATCCAAATACAAAATAATCTTTAATTATATATTATTCAATCACACTTATTAACATGACTGATGCGCAGAAAAAAAAATCCATAATTAAGAGACTCTGTATAGCATATAAAGCAACCAGGTGACCCACACAAAGAGGAAACAATCTTCTATTGCATGTTGTGTGACTGAACAAAGAAAAAAAGAAAAAGAAAAGAAAGAATTTCACTTTCTTCAACCCCTCAAATGGCTATGATAAGAAAATGTTAACTCTTATTCCTTTCTTTTTCTCTTCACCGATTTTGTGCTCCTCCTTCTTTTTCAGAGCAAGCAGAGTTTGAGAGGTCTCCTCTGCATTGGTATAGACCCATGATCACATTCTGGCCATCCCCAGAGGTTGTGTGGTGTAGAAGGCCCTTTGTGCAGATTGTGTCACCAGAGAAACCAAAAGGGCTTTGAGGTTTTGTGAGTATATCCTTGATGGGTCTCGCAGTTTCTGATCTGCACAACCCTTGTAAACCAAGTTTGTGTTATATGCATCTGACATAGGATGGAGAAGAAGGAGGAGCACAAAATCAATGAAAAGAAAATGAAATGATAATGAATAAGAGTAACATTTTCTTATAGTAGCCATTTGAGGTTAAAGAAAGTGAAGTTCTTTTTTTTTTTTTCTTTTTTTTTTTTTCTTTGTTCACTCACATAACATGCAATAGAAGATTGTTTCCTTCTTGTGTTGGTCACGTGGTTGCTTTATATGCTATGCACAGTCTCTTAATTATGGACACCTTGTAAACCAAGTTTGTGTTATCTGACATAGGATGAAGAAGAAGGAGAAGCACAAAATCAGTGAAGAGAAAAAGAGATGAATAAGAGTAATGTAAAGTTTGTGTTTTTTCCATTTATGGTCTTCCTCCTTTATCTTTTGTGGTCTTCTCCATTTAGGGTAGATCCCTCCACACTTGATCAAACTCTCACTATCTAACACACACTCTGCTGTTTTGCATGTCCTACATCTTTTGTATTTGATAGGAGGTAAGAATATATTTTAATTATAAAACAAATGCATGGTGTAATCTGTTATCTTTTTTTACTAAGTAGTATTTACTTCATATGTTTAAGCATGTTAAATTTGCACAAGCTTTCTGTATAAACTGCCATACAAACAGTAACATAAATTGGAACAAATTAACAACACTAACTACAAATTTATATTAGAAATTGTTTCCTTTAATTGAATAACAAAACTAACCCCTTTTCTTTTTTGTATTTTTCCGTTTCCACCAATTACAACTTGGAATAATCTTAGCATGGTTACTGTTATATAGTAAAACATATATAGATAAAGATTATTTTTGATATGGACTTATGGCATAACGTTCATGTATCGCCATACATCTTTCCCTAGAGAGTTAATATTTTCAATTCGACCTGGAGTTGTTTTTTCGAAGATAACGTTATCTGAGTGCGCTTTTTTTTTTTTTATTTTAATGTTTGTATCCAGACGTA